TTTTTTTTTTTTTTTTTTTTTTTTTTTTTGGTGAAAATACGGTGGATCCTTTCTTCGTGAATGTTTAGTCAATGTTTGTTAACTGTGACGTTGATCCAATAACGCAACGTCGTTCTCGCGTTTGCAGATCTTGGGGGATGAGTCGGTATTAACTTTCGCGAGCGACGCGTGGCAGTTTGCGTTGTCTGGCATCTGTGTAATTAACGAATCTAGTGAATGAAAATTGCCCTGTTTGCAGACACGGTGAAATCTCGCTTCGTAGAAATATCTGTCTGGAAAATCGAGTCTCTGAGAAGCTGTCCGCGAAAAACTTGTTAATACACCTGCGCGCTTAGCGAACCGAGACACGTGTCGCGACGAGTTGTTGACCTGAAAGTAAAACTACCTTAAAGCGCAACGACTTTCAAGGAAACCCTCCCATCCTTTTAATTATTCAGAAAGCTGCATTCGCGTTCAGCCTGGACTCTTCAAGAATCGCGTGCTCGTACGTTGAATTAAAAATTTGCTTTTATGTTTACGAAGGAGAAGAAGATACACGACTTATAGATTTTCTACCTATTTTCAGGAAACTTTTATTTGCGAATTAGACGAGTTGTTCGAAATCAAGAAATGAGAATTCTCGCGTGCTCCTCGATAATAGCGGTCGTATCTTTTTACAATGCCAATAAATTTCAAAATATTTTGTATAGAACATATAATACATTCATAGAAGATGTCTTCAAGTAATCGAATACTTCCGTCATCTTATGCATAAAAATTTTATTTCACTTTGGAAAAGAAGACGTCTGAGAATTCTGATGAAATTCAAATCTTCCTTTTCGCGTTATCGAACAATCTACGTGCAAATAATATGTAGCGCGGCGAATAAACCGAACGTAAGCGAAGAATAAATTCCGTTGGATGAAACGATCCGATCGTCGTGTATCACATCGATTCAGCGATTCGTGTAGCTCGCGAGTATGATTGAAGTGAAGCCGCGTGGAAAAATAAATCGACCAAGTAATTTTTCCCAACATTTTAAGATGCATACACGCGGCCTTGCAAATATGTACGTATGCATCGTATATACAATGCTCGTGGTTCTGCATAAACTCGCTATATTGACGTACGCGTATTTTTAAAATCGAGAGGAATTCGAGTACAGCTGTTTCAGCGGAGGCGGAGGGATTACGAATGAATACACACGTTTCGTCCCTTTCAGCGGTGACACGAGTGACAATGATTCGGAAGAGAAATTCACGTAAGGAAATTGAGAAAGAAATTCGACAATACGGAGACTTATTATTTTACGGATATCGTAGTCTTATTCATTAAGGAATTTCCAAGGAAAACTTTCATTACATTTTTTCTATCACTTTGGAGATTAAATATTGCTAATTATTATTTCTTTACTACCAAAATTTATTACAATGAACGTAAAGTAAGGTAATTATTATTCTATTGTCTGGTTTATATTTAATATATTAAAATTCATTAGTCCAAAGCTCTTAATTATTTTACTCAACATCCTGAAGGACTAAATTTAATTTCTACCACAGTATCCGAACCTTTGAAATTACACCGGTTTGAAATAACACTGGCTCGATCCTTGGTACACGTTTTTCGTGTTTGTCGTCCAATTACAGATGTCCTTTCCTTATGTGATCGAGATCCGGTCGATAAATCTTCTTTCAGTCCCGGAAATCCCCTTTCTCCCACCGTAATTCACGCTCCCTCTCGAAGATACCCGCTCAGATACTCATAGTCGTCTACGTTTCATCAAGTCAAATTCTACTCTACAGACACTAAGATTCCTACGTTCTAAATTGCCGCTAAAGAGCACTTGGACTGTACGCGAACGTGTTCCGCTACAAAGAGTGGCATTATACAGACGTATTTTCCATTTCAATCGTTTTTCGTTACTTGGAAATCTACACTACGAGTCTAGAACCGTCTAATATTACGGTCTACAAAAGTAAAACTCGATATCGGAAGATGGGAACAGGTTATTGGCTACGAATTTGATCACCTGCCAGTGTCGATTTGTATTCGTTTGGTCACTACACACTGGAAAAACGTGATTCTGCTTGCAAATTCTCGGCGAACACTCGGCTAGAATTTTTCTTTTCTTGCGGTAGTTTCTTGGAAGCAGGCCGGTGAATTTCTCTAGCGAGCGCGAAAAAATCGATTTGTTGACGAAAGTGGACGTGTTGCAACGTGTCGCAACCCTTGAAATCACTCGCAGAAACGAGTCTTCCTAAGCCAAGCGCAGTAAGGAAGGGTTATTTGAATTTCTTAAGCTTCAACAACGCCTTAAAATTCAATCTTCTAAACTTGCTTGAAATAATCAAACTTATATTTTGCGAGACACTACCGAGATTAAAGAGATACCATGTACTTTCATTTCAGCAAGAAAAGATATTAAAAACTGGAAAACGATTTGTGCTGAAATTATTTGCTTCAAGGGAATGTTTGAGATGTTGTTATACAAGAACTAACGAAATAGACAATCAAATAACTGTTAAGACTAAAGTAATGTACACAGGTTATTGAATTATGATAATTACAACTGACAATATTAAAATTAGTCGAATAAATTTCCCCCTTGATGACTAGAAGCTGTACTTTCGTAAAAGGCTGTCGACGTAAGTACACGACATACTTCACCGTTTACCGCTCCACTGATAACGAGTTTTAAAGTCTATCTCCAAATGTAAATCGTTAAAAGAATTGTTCATAACCAATCAATTAGCTTAACTCGAGTGAAATATCTTTCTTGACCAAATAATTCCACTCTACCGCGTAATTTCCAATCAAAGAATGCCAATCTTGCTGTTTTCCACGCAATTACATTTCAGATTTGAGTTCTAACGCAGCGTAGTGACAAGAAATCCCCTGATCTCAAGTTAAAGACTCTTTAAGGTTCGATTTATCAACCTTTCGAAGGAAGAAGATTTTCTTTACCCCGAAGAAGACTAATTAATCGAGCGCGTGATTCAATTTAGGTCAGCATTCGTTATCTGTGCGTCACGCTATAATCCCTTTACGACTGGCGACCTTCCCCTAATTAAGATTTCATTACGAGAGAAATGTCGGATATGGTATTGCGATCTGAAAAGCCACTCGAGCTCTGTCAGGATTTTTCAATGAACCGCGGAGGTTCGTTGCGTCATTATCTGGCAATTAGCAGTCTGGATAGCTTGCTCGTGGACAATTAATCCCCCGTGTCGTATCGATGATCCCTTTAATTTGGAAGGGAGAAAGGGATCGTTGCTTAGAACCAAGGCCCGAATCAAAGAGGGTAGGCAAATAACGATTAAAGCAGAATTAATTGGTCATCGATGCGTGAGGCACAAAAGTATCTACGTGGAGGCACGGTTCGTGATTAAAGTTAGAACCCGTGATACGATAAAGTCGATTCAATTGAATTCGAATTATCATTCTAAACGCCCAAACACTTCTCTGCCTTTCTCCTTCGAATGGCAGATAAAAGAAACGATTACGCAGGTCCCTTAGGGAAGAAGTCGATTAAAAGTTCATTAGAATTCTGCGATCACAGTCGGCAATAAAATTATTCCTTCTTTGAAACTCTCCTCGGCGCTCTGGGAACACGCGTTATTTCAAGCTGCGGCCCGCCATTTTTCAGTCTACGCACGACACGGTGCGGATGCCTCCGCAGTAGAATAAACCGAGATATGCATGACATTCTATTTTCTAGTGGAAAAGCACTCTCCAGATTCTTTTCTTAAATTATAGTCGGCGTACCTTTACTTCCATTACGTTTCCACCATTTTTATCCTCTCTCGGATCGATTAAAGGTGAAATGGAATAAGTCGAAATATTTATACACTGCAATGAAATATAGATTTGATCAAATCTGATGAAATAACTGTATACTTCTTCAAGTATATAAAGTTCTGTCGAACTTTATAAAATAATTTTATATATTTCACTGTAAAAAGTATTCTACCAAGCTTTATAACATTTACTATCTACATTGCTACATGGCTACATGGTTTTTACTATCTATGTGGCTCACCAAGGTATTCAAACGTTTATTAGAAACTTTTTATGAATGTACCAGCGAGATATTCACCGAAAACCAAGTTAATAAAACAAGGCTTCATAACTCTTAATGCCAGTAATTTTACAAAGAAGCGTAAGTCATTATATATAACGTGGAATCCTGTATCTTTTTGGGGCAACGCGAGATAAACTGGCTGCAAGTAGAATCACACTGTATATGTACGGACACGGTTTTCAACGAAATATCCACCTTACTTTTTCGGGATTAACAGCGACAACATTTCGACGAATCTGTTTCCAACGTTAGTTACTGCGAGCTTCGCGACTCTGTAGGTGTATTTTCTTCCCTTTTCTCTATTACGAGAGAGAGTGTGTGTGTGTGTGTGCGAGAGAGAGAGAGAGGAATATAGAATTCTCGCGATTGAAATAGAATCTAACTTTCGAAATATTCGAAGAATTCTTTCGAAAGGGGAATCTATTTAGCTGATGGAATCCAATCGATCGAAATTCTGCAGAAACGAGATTGATAAACGAACCGTGGTAGCGGCTGGTTTCGAGCTAGGGATTCGAGGTTTGTCGCTGGTCTGTTTATGTGTTCGCGACTATCCAAGCACCGGCATTCTCTATCCGTCTTTTCCAAATATTGAAATTTCTCTGATATCGTTGGTCGAAGGTAACAACGCGAGTTCGCGTATTGCGTTAAGCTCGCACGTTCAACAAGTTACACTAGTCGTTACACGGGCGTCATTCGGAGAACGTATTTCCTGCTTTGTCGTTCGTCTCTCTCGTTCGGGAAATCTCGATAATATCGATCGTGGTTGTTCAGTATTCTCGGTACATAAAGCGATAACTAGTTCGGTTTCGCGGTACGTAGAACTCGCAGACTAGGCGGTAATCTATAGGGCGTTTCATGATTTACAGTTACTTTTTGAACGAGCCAGCCAGCTTGTGAAGGACTCCGTGCAATTCAGAGCACGAACGGAATGTTACTGCTGTACGGAAGCGGCTTACGAATTCGTTCGATCTAATTTTACGAATTTACGTTGGCAACGATCGACTTTCGCCCGTGCCAGTCTTTAAACCGATTCCGCCTGCTAATCCCTCGGAGCATCGCTAAAAACGACATCGTAATCCGTTTACGGGCTGTATTCTGTCAGCTTAATAAGCGACCAGAGGAGAAATATTCG